ATTGTGGTCTCACTTGAACAACTGCTTCAGCTCAGGCCCATAGCTTCACCCCCTCCCTGAAAAATTCAAAATTCAGACTACTTTAATGTCTTATTGAGGCCCTCCTCGAAATATTTTGCAAAAGCTGTGGCAGCAAATAGTGGGATTTATGGATGCAAGGTGCCCAAGAGGTTGAGAATAAAGGTTTCACATTACCAGAAGAATCAATAATAACAAAATGAATGATTGACTATTTTTATCTACTAGTATGATATATGAAGAATGTTTATTGAATATTATATAACATTAAAGCATGCTGTAATATCATATTTTGAGGCCAATACAAAAATAATTTTGATTCTCAAAAGTAGCTTTACCATAATAAGCGACAAGTTTAATATTTCAGCCAAAATGCACATACAGAAAAATTCTTCTAAACCTGGCAGCCCAACGGAATGATGGAATTGGACCTCCCATCATTTATTTTGAAGGGAGATGAATAGGCTGAGGACTGAAAGGACAGATATTGAAAGTACATGCAACTAATAATCTTAGTAATTTTAACTGACAAATGCATATCTTATGCTGCTGAATGCCTGACACCTGTTTAGGGTAAAAAAAAACCTCATCAGACAGAATTTTTGAATAGGGCATTAACTTTTCAAAATTTGTTGAACTTTAAGCAGGTGTGAAATAAGCAAACATTATTTTTGTATTGGCCTGATACATATCAAGATGAAGATTATAATTGCATTGTAAATAATAATTATAATAATAATAATAATAAACTTATTATAAAATTGGATTTGCTGACCTTGGTTTGATATATAAGTATATAAATGCATTAAGTAAATTCACAAAAAAACATAAATTGGCAAAATAAATCTGTTTTGAGACAATATTGGTGGGTTTATCTTTTAGGTTTTGGTTAAGGGAGTAATATAAAAAATTTAAAAACTGTTTGTGCTTTGTTGAAGAAATTTTGAAAGTCTTGTTTTTTAAATTTTCAGGCACAGCCGTACAACACAAATTGAATTGTATTTTATTTTTGATTCAACATTACAGTAGAAACATGGGGAAGATAATGCTTTTTAAGTTGAGGACAAGAATTCTGCTTTGTTAGCGGAAATTCTGTCCTAAAGTTCAGTGAGCTTAATTAGCTGGGAGAGCAATTCAATTGTTTTTTAAGAGTACTATGTCTCTTTTACCACAGTATTGGCAGTGTTCATGAACAACTTATGTACATAAAAATTTGATTTTCATTAATTCCAGCCTTATTGAATTTTCAGCTGAATGAGAGTTTGAGATAAGATTCAGTTATACACGAAAACTTGGTTACTGGCCATGATTTGTTTTTCATAAAATCCTCATTTTTAGCTTTTTGTCAACAATAAATAATTCTATAAAAAGAAGCTTAAGTTCTGAGGACTTTGGTGTAAAAGCGTAAAAAACAATGATGAAAATATGAAATAAAATTGTGCAGTAATATTTGTGGCATCTATTAGGAAGCTTTCAAATATTCTTGGTTTTTAACCATGAGGTTACAATACAGCCAATCAAAAGAAAGATATCATAAACTTAATAACTTAAGTGATAGAACCTCTGCTCTTATTGGATGCACTCATACAACTTGGACTAAAGAAACCTCTGATGATTGGCCGCAATTCATCAAATCATGAAGCAAGAAGTTTGATTTTGGTTTAGAAAACATCTTATCCGATTGGTTGCAATTGGATCTCAAGGTTGAAAACCAAGATGGATTGAATACTTCCAAAATTTTGGCATAATAAACACTAAATGTGCAGTTCATAAGTTAATAATAATAAAAACTTATTGTTTTTTTGGCAATGAAATTCAAAACGATTCTTTAAAAATATAGATGTTTAGACTTACTTCACTAACAAAAATAGCCTTAACTCGTTGACCAAAATACTGAAGCAATGTTTAGTGAATACCAAGGATTTTAAGGAACTTTATCAACCCTACAAAATTCCATTCATCGAATCGAATATGCGACAAAACAAAATGCAAAATAGGTCGCGGTCTGAAATGACTGAAATAGACTTAATCCTTGGTATTCACTGCAAGTTGTGGTCCCTGAATTCAACAAAATATAAACAAAAAATATATGAGGTAACTACTAATAAATAAATATATCTGAATTTGAATGAATATTTGCAACCTTCCTTCACAGAGACAGTCATTTAGTTCAATTTTCAAAAAAAGGATCACATAAAATAAATCCATTGACCCACTACCTTTTTTCTTCCGAGTAATGGCCCAAGTGACTGATTCTGTCATGGACGATCATTTAATCTAGACATTTTGTCTTTATCTATGTTTTTGGACCTTCCTGATTTAAAATCTTTTTTGATTTCACAGAATATGGTAATTTGATTGTAAATAACTTAACAAAATTTAATGGATAACAATTACTCCCAATATTGTTTGATGATAACAAGAGAAACACAGTCAACAGATAATTTTTTTAGGATATTGCTGTCCATAAAAAGTTGAAAGCTTTTTTTAATTGTGGCATGAAAAATGAGCAAAAATTTAAAACAATGATTCAATAAACCGGTAATTCAATGTTAATGATTGTAAAGAGATTTTCTAAACTTGTATCCAGGCCATCATGGCTTCCATTTGCATTATTCCTACTTTCTGTCAGATGTCTATGGTTTCAGTATAATATAGAAATGCTTAATAGTATAGCTTGTGTGAAAGAAACTTTATAAAACGTTTATCTCAAATGGAATTGGAAAACCCAAAAGTGGTGTGACTGAAAATGGGAAATCTGGAGTGGAGATACATAAAGTTTAGAAAACCTAATTAAATTCCTTTTAAGTGCAAAAGCACTCTTCATATATTTTGACTAAATTAGATATCATACACTATATATTATTGGGATAAAAACACTATTTGTATTGACTAGAGCAATAGAGGAGGCATCCTGTATACCTTATAGATTCTTATTATATGTACCTTCACTTATTACCCTGGGATAACTCATACAGATTGATGCAATATTATAATTCAAGCTCTATTCTGGTGACCATTTTTAAAGCCAAAATGACCAATGAATTGTCTTACAAATTAACAAAACCTCCTTAACACCATAGCCCTCACGTGTTCTTGTGGCATCAACAAAACCACCTAAAGGGGCCCTCATACCATAGCGATTTCTTGTTATGTATGGTTGTGAATATGAATAGTGGTCATAAACTCTCATGCAACTGAATTTAATTGGTACTCATGACCACATTCATTATTCACAACCACACATAAGTGATTGGTATGGTGTGAGAGCACCTTATGGAATTTCTTCACACGGGCTAAATAAACAAAGGTACTAAATATATTCATGATCTTCTAAGTAAAGCACTTGCTACTATCAAAAGTATCATAGAAATGTTCATGTGAAACATCTATATATGAATGTGTGAGTTATCTCAGGGCTATAAGTATGTATATGAAAATTTCCAGGCATCACAGCATGTAAAAGAGGTAAACAAGAAATGGTATGGATCTCTATCTTTCAAGAAATGTAATTACTTTACTTTACATATAATTTCCTAAGTTAGCGAACACTTTAATATCATTAATATTCAGATTCAAACAGCATAAGTTAACAAGTCCAGTTAAAACATAAGTTCTTGACAGTCACCTAAAGTATATAAACTGCAGCTTCAAATCAAAGCTTCTAAAATAATTTTTGGCGTGCAGTGATGATATGACAATGTGTTGGCATATACATACATATTGTATAGTTAGACAAATGTCCTTATGCACATTCAAAACATTAACACACAGTCCACTTTATATTGGGGTAGTTTAAGTAGGTAAGACCTCGCTAAAGAATGGCTCATGTTGTTTCAATTACTATTGATTCTACCTCAAAACAAAATAGACTGGTCTTGATTAAGTTTGAACATTCCCTAGATGTGCTTCAGTATATCTGTCGCACTAAAAACAGTGAAAATCAAGCATATGATAATAAAAATGACCTCAATAATTCACCCACAGAATACACAGTATTCCTCATTAGAAAATAACTAACTTGTACCAAGGCTGTGACTTTAGCTAAATTTACCATTCATGTATGAAATTTGGCTGTATTTTTACCATATTATTAAGCTACCATACTTATTTTAGACTTTGAATCTTTTAAAATGAACCTGAATTTTGTTGGTACTCAATGTTTTCTATTGTGCTATCTGTGGACAATTGTTCTGATTTCAAAGATTGGATTGCCTGTGATTTTCAAAGACAAATTTGACCTCAAAATTATTAAGTGAATGCCTTGTATTAACATCAGTATTAAAATCTAAGACATTCTCTACAAAGTCTCAGTTTATCCAGCTCCAATTTTCATTTATATAAAATAAAAAGAGTGTTAATTTGTGCAAAAATAATGGGAAAACATTTCTTCAACTCACAAGCCTTGATACGTAAACATTTCACAGTTGGACTAACAACAGAACAAGCATAGATTTACATTTAACAGCAGTAATAATGGTGTAAGAATAGAATCTAATGGATTGTGGATGCTTGATCAATAAGGTAAAGGTATTTAGCATTTACTTTCATATCAAAGACACCTTTACTGTTTACAAGATGTACAGAGAAATGGGAATTCTTTTCTAAAATACAAGCTTTTGAAAACAATTTTGTTGGAGGATTCAAAGCTTAAAAGTATATAGTTCTCTTAATATTTGCTTTACCAGATGAAAGAGCTCAAGTTTAGCATTCTGTATCACTTTGAGAATTAGTGCTCCTGCAATGCAACAATTATATAGGCTTCAACTGGTAAAACAAATATCTAAAAAACTAAATCCCTTTAATTACAGATTTCCAATTTCAAGCACCTGCATCCATTAGATTCTAGGACATGATATTTAATGGAAGACTATATAATAACTATCCTAGGATACAAAAGAAGACATATTGAGGAAGGATTCATCCGATTGTATCAAAACTTCCATATCTTCTTGTTCTGCTGCCTGCTGTATTCTCTTAATATGAGAGGACATGTGTTTCTTTAGGTCCGACTTCAATATGAACGATTTGGCACAAATTTCACAGTGGTATGACCTTTCACCTCTGTGCGATTTCATGTGATATTTAAAGCTACCCGTATCATTGAAACCTTTCTCGCATAATTCACACTGGAAAATCTTCTCTTCTGAATGAACCTGCTTGTGTCTCTTTAACGCCCAGCTGGATTTGAAGCCTTTAAAGCAGATATCACATTTATAGAATCTTTCCAAGCAATGGACGTAAGCTATATGCTTACGTAAGTTGCTTCTTTTCGAGCAGGCAAAATTACACTGCTCACATTTATGAGGTTTGGAATCTTCTTTAGCAAGGGGTTTTTCCTGATCATTCTTTTCTAAGGTGGGAGTTTTTAAAATCTGACTTGATTTTGGTACAGGACTAGAATCTGTTTCTTTGGTTGGCGTATGGTTATCTTGGTCATAAGGTTCTGGCGGAGTAATCTCGGGTTTATTCACATCAGTTGGAGAATCATAAAAGTTTGACTTCTTCAAATCTTGAACTGGAACCATAGTAGGTGAATCTTTGGTGGGATTTGGTTTCTTCTCTGGTTTGTTGTGGGTCTTCATATGCCGATCTAGATCTTTTTGTGCAAGATATGATTTTGGACAAATAGTGCATTTTTTTGATATTGCGCTATGGTAGATGAGTTTGTGACGTCGAAATCCACTGTTGTCATTAAAGCCTCTCTTGCAGTCGTCACACCAGTATTTTTTTATGACCGAATGGATATTTTTATGTCTGTTTAAATCACTTTTACCGCTGAAGCCTTTCGAACAAACATCACATATGTAGGGTTTCTCTCCAGTGTGTGACCGCATATGGAGAATGATGTTCGAATGCTGACCAAATGCCTTTGAGCAAATGCCACAGATAAATGGCTTCCCATCTGAACCATCTCTTCTGTATTCAAATTTATTTTCAATTGATTTGAATTTGATTTCTGCATCGCTTATAGGTTTTGTTACAATGGTTTCTGAGCTTGAATCTTCTAATTTGAGAAAACTTGTGTCATATTCATTTCGCTCAAGAGAGGTAGCTTCTTCACCATACAAAATGGCTAAATAATCTTTGAGAATACTTTCGCTATCTTGGTCTAGCGAATCGAGAAGCGAGGAATCATTGGAACCCAGTTTGTCACTGGTATAGCCCTCAGAGGTAGTTGCGTATCCATTCACACTGGTGTCAGTGAATACAGGATTAGGCGAAATGAGGTGCTTGTCTTTCCGGCCAACTTTTTTCTTGCAGCGTTTCTTGATGTTCATCAGGTAGTTGTCAGTCTCTGTAGACGAGGTGGGAAAACTGGAAAATTGGTCCATACTATTTGGTTCTTCAGTCATAGTTCTGACAATCTTCGGCACATTTAGAATGGTTCTGTGACAGCCGGAAGTTGGTTCTAACTCACCATTTGATGAATTGGAATGTTGTGAATCCAAGTCTGAATTCAGGAATCCATTTTGAAACGGGGCATCAGTCGATTCTGATAGAGAATCATCCTCCATTGTGACCTTATATCGAAACTTTGAACTTTTAAATTCTTGATAAAATCATGATGAAACCTTCAACTGTGAGACTCCCTGAAAAATAAAATAAACAAAGCGATTAAGTGGAGGGGTTCAGAGAAAACTCACTGATTGAGGCATCAAAAGTGTATCTGTGGTGGCAGTGAAGTATTTCTCTAATAACAGGAACCATAAACATCTGACAGAAAAATTGAAATCGTATGGTAGACTTAAAGTCTAGTGGCAGTAAACGTCGTTTGAAATTTGAAAAGCACAAGAGTAAACACATCTAAAAGTCTCTAATATTGATTTATAACTGATACAAAAATCTTCAACTTCTGGGTCAGAACCATATAGTAAAAGATAACATAAAAAATATTAGTTAGTAGATTCTGCGAAAGGATGTCAAGATAAATTTTATTAGATATTCCGAAAGGGAAAGCATATCCTGCTACGCTAGCAACACCTGTCATGGTACTATATTGGTTCCTGATACACATAAAAAAAAACAGAAAACCTCATTGCAACAGAACTTTAAAACTGATGATGAAAAATAGACAATACATTATGAATAACAATTTACTGAAAAAAATATAATTTTCAGAATTTTGTCGAAGTATTGTGATTATAATATTTTCAACTTGTTTTCAATTTACTTCAAAAACATTATTTTTTTATTTCTTGAATAACAGAAATGATTTAAGACGAAAGCAGATTTTTTTACAAATTTATTTCTGAATTCTAAATATAGAACATGTTTTTGTTTGTTTTCCAGTTTTCCTTTTATTTTTTTTTTAAATCATTTTCCTCATTATCTAGTCAATTTTCAATATTTTATTGATAAAAGTACATCAGAAACATTTAATGAGAAATGAGTTCAAAACCTGGCTTTTATCATTTCAAAATTTTAATTCATCTACAATTAAATCAAACGAGAAGTGATATAAGACCCAATATAATTGACAGGCTATGCAGTGGAGTTTCTAGGAAACATTAAGTGAGGTGGCTGAGAAAGTGACGCAAAATTTTCCAGGGGGAACTGGTCATTCTTTTACAATGTTAAAATTTGAAAATGGAGGGGCAAAAGTCGGGCCAAATAGTGCTGCCCTGGCCCCTCGTAGAAACGCCACTGAAATTACAGCTGATAATAGGTAAATGAAATGAAATGAATGGAGTTTTACGTCCTACTTTTCTGCACCATGTGAGCTAATGAAGACGGGCAACACCATGCAGGGTGCAATGAGGGAAATTTTTCAAGGACAGCGGCATTAGCCTTCTCTTTTTAGATTTCCAACTGTCGAGGGATCTTTAACGTGCACAGCCTGTAGCACACGGGTGTAAAGCAAAAAATATATCTGAAATATTTAGATCAAATTGTATGGAGGTGACTGCATGTCCTTTAAGTTACCTTAATTGATATCAGATCGATAACCTTACAACATATAAACAATCAATATTTGTAAAAAAAAAATCGTTTCAACATTCAAAAAGTTAACGTAATTTGAGTTTTGTGATCTGGTTGTATGATTACTCAAACAGTATTATATGCATTCATTTTAGATAAAGTTTTATTAACCCATCAATTTACTGTATTTTTAAAATCTTACTTTTATCCTATTTCAAATCTAATGAAACAGGTCCTATTTAAGCAAGGACATGAATAGCTAAGGGCAATATTGGAAGATATCCGAAAGTCTCTTAATTGGGCCACTTCACCTAAGGATTAAATGCAAAGTATTTCATAAAGTAAATCATCTGAAGTCAAATCATTAACTATTCAATTATAGGTTTCGATCATGTAACTATTATGCTAAATTTCTACAAATTATGTAGAATAATTATTATCAATAAGAATATGATGTTAAAAGTATAGGCCTACCAGTAAAAAATATTCAAAATAAAAACAATCTCAAGTCAAAAGACTCAATAACAGTGTATTAGAATGCTGACGTAAACTACCAAATGTAATAAAAGTACACAAAAACCTTTGAAACCTTGAATGAAATGAGAAAGTACAGCATTGAGTTCATGCACATTAATAATTCACATAGAAAATGAGATCACAAAGTCCACTAATTTCATTCATTCTTCAAATATCAGCAGGGCAATAACAGTGATATACCACCGTTGCCCTCATTCTATCAAAATACAGCTATCACAACATGCATTTTACTAAAATAAGTGAATAAAACGTAGATAACGAAGGAAATACTGACCACTCCTAACGGTATTAAAATGAGCTGTGCTTTGTTTGCCTCAACCAGGAGTCGAGTTCTACGCCTACCCGTGAACTCTCTATACTCAGTGCGTTGCGAGAGCATAATTATGAGGCCGTGATAGATGGATCGAAGAGAGAAGGCAAGTGTTGAGCTATGCGCCGTGCTAGTGTGATTCACACTATATACAGTTAGCTTGAGTAATGTTCCACTTTGTACTACATCGTTACCATATAACGTTAAAATCTATACTAAAATTCTTACCATATTTATTAACGGGTCATAGAACGGCGCTCTGACCTCGAAATTATGTCCCTCTCTTCCCCTTTTTGAAGACCGGTGTCATTGATTAAACGCAGCGAATATAAATCACTGCATTTCTGGAACCAAGGGATGCTAAATTTCATAGGATGGAACCAAATGAAACAGTCACAATTCCACAAGTAACCTGTTATTGATATTATGAGATAAACGTAATTGAAGGAATCAAAACAACTTTCGCAATACAGACCTCGAAATACCGGAATGTTTTATGAATAGGAGGGCATTTGAAGCGGATTAGATGTGTATATTGGTTGACTGTGCAGATATAACGGCATACGAGGGCATTATCACCAATGTAAGTGTGAAATATTTAATATTAGTGTGTATTGTTTATACGATTATGGAGTATTATGAGAAGAAGAGTAATCCGTTTAAAGCTGTCTGCACTGTTGAGGTTATCTTCTGCTTTTATTATTTCATCTACCTTAAAAAATCGAAGATGTTCCAAGTATTTATATGTTGACCCCAAGAATTGTGACCCATTTCATAAGAGACAAACCATTAAAATTAATTGCAATTTGAATATTTAAACTTTAAAATCATATTGATTTTTTGTGAATATTTATAATGAATTGAGCCTGGACCTTATAGTGTTAGAAGGCTTATGCAGCCCCCTAAGTCCCTAGGAGTGGATCTTATGCAAACTGTCCACTGATCCTTAAAATAATCAATGCCTTCTTTATATGAGACTAACATTGGTTTATAAAGGGGTTTTTTAGAGGGTTAATGAATTTAGTTCTTTAGTCCTCTCATCAACAGACATTAAGTCCTCTCATCAACAGACATTAAGGCATGGAATCAACAGTGGCAGCCGAACTTGTTTGCTTCAGGTTTGCCGTTTTCTAATTTCAAGAACTGAATACAGATTCATAAATATATCTATTAGCTTTTAAAGGGATATATGAATTCTTTGAAGATCTTTCAGTGGATGTACAGTGTATGAACTTGGTTGGGGTAGGGAGGAGCTGCACCATCAAGCATTAATTTGAGTTTTTTCTTATATTTATAGAAATGGAGCCACCTCCACCGTCATATAATGAAGCTGTTACGAATTCAAATTATTTCTCATCAACTTCAATAGATCTTGATGATGATTCTGAAGAACTTGGAAGTTCAGTTGATCCCCTAAGAGACGAAGTTCATGGAGCAGAGAGTTCGCAATATGAGGAAGATGCCGAAACGAATGCACTTTTAGAATCAGAGGATGTCACTCCAAGAAATTATAGTAGTCCTGTAACACCACCAAATAATGTAGGAGAATCTCACTTCAGGACTAGTGTCAGCCCATATAGCTCTGGAGAATCTCAATTGAGAGCCAGTGGAAGTCACCATGTCTCTGGATCCCCTCCACAAACACCAGGGTCTCAAAACAGAGCCACTGGAAGCCATCCTGATTCTGGAACGCCATTACATAGTGGAGAATCTCAAAACAGAACCAGTGGAAGCTTTTCTAGTTATGGAACACCATCTCAAACAGCAGAGTCTCAAAACAGAACCAGTGGAAGCTTTTCTGGCACTAGAGCACCATCTCAAACAACAGAATCTCAATACAGATCCAATGGAAGCCCTGGTGGTTTTGGAATACCATCACAAACAGGAACCACAAGAAGCTCTTCTGAAGCACCGTCACAAATAGCAGAATCCCATACAAGAACCACTGATAGCCCTATTGGTACTGAAACTCAGCAACAAACCAGAGAAGTCCAGTCTACACCATCAGCACAACCAGATCTCACTGAATCTTCAGCACAAACTCAACCACCCCCTCCAAGTTATGACGAAGCCTTCATGCGTCCAGGTCAAGCAAGAAACAATATGCAAATTTCAAGAAGTGCTCTAAGTGGGGCATATCGGGATCCATTGCTAGATCCAGAACAGCCCCCACCATCATATAGTGCCGTGGTTAGCTCTCAAGGCTCACGATATTATCCCCCAGTCAATGCAGGAATTTTGAATTCATCCTATGCAACACAACCATCTACTTCAGGACCTGGAATCAACAGGTACCCTGCAGAACGCACATACGGATCTGGCGCACATGGCAGCTATAACTATCAGGGATATCAAAGAATGCCACATGGGTCTTATATACCAGTAATCCATAATGCTAATGAACAATCAGGTTTTTCTGCTCCCTCTATTGCTATATATAATTCCTTTCATCCGGCAAGGCCAACCACATCTACTGGTGTCCCTGGCAACGTACAGGGCTATAATACTACACCACTTGTAAGTATAATTCATTTATTTTCAAAAAATACTTCTTGTTCAGGGACATGGATGTCTAAAAATTCATCTCTCCACAGAACTTTTCATAATAATAAAACACACTGGCAGAAGAGATGATGATATTATCAAAACTACCAGTATACTGTCATTGATAATAACCTCAGTGGAAACACAGTTATTAAATACCTGTGAGCTCTCTCTCTGTCAGCTTTTGCTCCCTATGCAAATGCGGCTGCCCCCCTCGGCAGTCCCCCTTAGGCCTGATCATATGGATTTTTAATGTAAAATAGACAAATTTACTGAACAATTTTTCTCTTTCTGTTTCAGGCATATGTGGACCCCAACTCTATACCCCAAGAAAAAACCAATACGTGTGGTAAATTATGTACTTTATGTGTTTGTGTTGGTCTGATATTTATTCCTTTGATAATTTATCTCATGCTTTTAAACTGAAGTCTGTGGACCATGTTGTGGTGAGAATTTTTGGCTCATGGATTCTTTGGCTGAACCGAAGTACTATATTAAAATTGTTTGCTAATGTAGAGAGTCAAAAGGAAATTAAGCTACCAATTTGAGATTACTGTATAATATGATGCAAAGACATTCAAAGTTGTCACCAAAAAAAAACACTTCAGTAGTTTTAAGGAATTCCTGAAAGAGATGCTAAGTTATCCAAACTGAATACTCAATATAACTTGTTGTTGACTGTGTGGATTTTTCAGATAAGATACTGAAACCCAAATACCTTTACTAGCCATCAAGGTCGTCGATCTTGGGGGATACATCGATTAGGAAATTTGACGACAAATTATCATTAATCTCTGGCATTATCTATATATCACACATTGGAGGTAGGTCCAAGAGAGATCAAGAGATAATAGTAGGCCTATTCCATGTTGCCCAAATAGTGTTCAAATCAACCCCCTCTGTTTGCGAAACTGATCGCCACCCCTGCTGGCCATGTGAAAGTGATGCCAAGTTGACATTATGCCAACATTTATTTATTAATTAGGCCTAGAAGTATTAAAACATAACTTGAATCATGTTGTTACTCAGAGTTTTATTAATTAAGACTATGTAGAATCTTCATTAGGTTTGTAGTTGGTTATGAGTTGGTAATTCCAAATATTAAATTAGCATTTATTTATTATTCTCTCTTATACTCAAAATAATGCTGTGATACATACCTCTGTTGTATATGAGACAAACCATGTTTTGGTAGGCCATACGTTGATTATATATTTAATCCATCATTTGATGAGTTTCTTATGCCCCTATGGCAAACATTTTTTTTGTTTTGTTATTATTTATGGCCAGTTTTAAAGTCTGTTCAGTGTTTGTTGTATTTTATATTGTTATCAGAAATTTATATATCTGTGTTCAAGTGGAGTCTTGTTGGTTTTTCTATTCTTTTTTATTTTGAAGCTGGAGTGTACAGTACCCCTTGAATTTGTCAAAATTATATGAATTATATCATTTTACCTATTGATTATCACACATTTGATTTAAAAATATAACAACTGAAAATATGGTAGAAAATGGGGGAAAGGGAGGGGAAAATTAACTATTAATATCTGAGGGTGGAAATTTTTGTAGGCCTTCATGCTAATGGCGCTCTGACCTTCATCATTTTCTCCTTCTCTTCCCTTTTTGAAGACTGTTATTATTCATTAAACGCAGCAAATATATTATATCAGTGCATTTCTAGAACCAAGGGATGCTAAATTTCATAGGATGGAACCAATTGAAACAGTGACAATTCCACAAGTAACCTGTTACGGATATTATGAGATAAACGTAATTTAAGGAATCAAAACATCTTTCGCAATACAGACCTCGAATTACGGAATGTTTTATAAATAGGATGGCATTTGAAGCGAATTAGATGTGTATATTGGCTGACTGTACAGATAGGCAAGAGATATTTACCACGCGGTGCAAATAGCCATTCAAACGGCAATTATGTATATTATGCCACTCGTGGTAAAAAAATATATCACTTTAAAAGAATCTGTTTGAATACAGTAGGTATCGGGCAAGGTTCGCCAAACATTAAAAGTTTCCTACATACAGTTACATCAAACATATCTAAGTAATATTCTTGTCCATGGCAGATTAGGTATCCTTTTATTATCTGCTTGAAGCAATCTTCAGAACGCATTATAGTCGCATAGCTCGCGGTATGAGGTGAATGGTTTTTAGTTTGACATTTTTAGGGACTTTTTCAAGAGTATTCCTCACGATTGACTTATTGCCTTTCCAGCCGCCGTAAGATCGCAAATTGTCGCAGTCTGGTTACACCAAGCTCATTGCGACCCTAACACTAATTCCCTGAACCAATTACAATCACACATATTATATATGCAGTTGATTGGCTCAGAGCGTATCATAGTAACCATGCGTGGTATATGCGTGCAGGGAATGCCAGGCATCATTGCCGAGTCACGGCGTTTGTTCTCGACATGCTTGCTTCCATATCGCGACGATCGGAATCTATCATAGGTAAGACAATAACCTCCCTCACAGCCCCGAAAGCAAGTTTTTCGGGCAAAAATCTCATAACAAGGTTAGAAATTCGGGCAATTTCAGAAATCCCCCCACCCTATACCTTGGACGTAAACATGGCTCCACCACTGGTTGAAATGAGTTACTTTTTGTACATGTAGCATTTTTAAGGAAGTAACTTGTTGGCATTCGGAAAAATTGGGACTGGGAAACGATCCGCTAGATTTGTGCGCGAAACAATATTTCTGGGCAGTTCACCGACTCAATTTGTCCCGATTTGTTCAATTCAATCCGAATCGAAGCCTCTACTGGGTAAACCGTTGCATTCTACAGGTTTAGATGAAAAGGGTTTCTTCAAATAGATAAACATCAATATGTGTCCAATATGTGGAAGGATTGTAATCAAATTAGAATAAATCGTCCGAGTTCCAACAAATATATGGTCTGGTCTGTTACTACTTTTTATCGCTCTCTTGCCGTTTCAGAACGTGGACTTACATTGTTGAACACTTTTTTCATTGGACAGTGCCTTAAAATACCATAAAATCGTTATAAAAAACCAGTTTTAAAAGCCCGTGGTATGTAAAAACGTGCCACGTATCATTACAGTGAAGTCTGTTGCGACCTTGCTATAATTTACCACGCGTGGCAAATAGACACTCCCGTGCAGATATGATAACGGTATACGAGGACATTACGTAAGTGTGAAATATTTAATATTCGTGTGTAAAATAAACACTCTTATGGATACACAACTCCGTCTTTTACTTCAGCAACGTTTGAATTCACATACCGGACTCTTTATCAACTTAAGTAATGTATGCAATGAATGTTTGATAAAGATTCCGGTAGGCCTATGCGAATTGAAACATTGCTCAACTTGAAGGAATGAGTAATAGGCCTATATCCATAATATGTTTATTTTCTAATATTACGTTTACTTCTAAATGCCATTTAAAGTATAAATTCGTGTGTATTGTTTATATAAGATTATGTAGTTATAAAAAGTAGAGTAAAACTGCCTGCACAGAATCGAAGATGTTCCAACTGTTATATTGACCTAAAAAAATTGTGAGCCATTTCATAAAAATCAAAACATTGAAAAATTTGAGTTAAGAATTAAATTGATTTCTTTCTTACATTTTTAATGAAAAGCCCCATGAGTTAACAGCCGTAGTTCTTACATGTACACTGAATTCCTTACTCTTGGTAGACCTACTCTCAATTGACCCATGTGAATTCATAAATGGGATACATAAACTTCTCAGCAGACCTTTGAATAAAGGTTAACGTAATTACAATAGTGTAATATGTTTTCACTATTATATCTAGTCTTTTAATCTTTGATCTTTTAGTAGGATTTTATACAGTAGGCCTATGAACTTGTGTCCTGTAGGGAGGAGCTGCACTGGAATCTATTTCTACTTTGAGATATGATTTATATTGGTAGAAATGGAGCCACCTCCACCATCATATAATGATGCTGTTACAGATCAACACAGAAATTCAGTTAATCCACTCAGGGATGAAGTTCATGAAGCAGAGAATTCACAATTTGATGAAGATGCAGAATCCAAGAAGCTTTTAGAATCAGTGGATGCAACCCAAATAAATATTAATAACTCTGAAACAACGCTACATAATGTTGGAGAATCTCATTTAGGAACTAGTGGTAGCTCATATAGCTCTGGAGAATCTCAATTAAGAGCAAGTGGTAGCCCCCATGTCTCTGGACCCCTGCTACAAACAACAGGATATCAATACAGAACCAATGGACACCCTTCTGGTTCTGGAGCAACACCACAAACAGCAGAACCCCACTCAAGAACAACTGAAAACCCTTATTATTCTAGAACACCACTACATACGGAAGAATCTGAATTCAGAACCACTGGAAGCTCTTCTGGAGCCCCGTCAAAAATCGCAGGAACCACTGAAACCAGAGAAGTCCACTCTACACCATTACAACAACCAAATCTCTCTGAATATTCAGCACAAACTCAACCACCCCTTCCAAGTTATGATGCAGCCTTCATGCGTCCAGATCAAGCAAGAAACAATATGCAAATTTCAAGAAATGCACTAAGTGGGGCACATCGGGATCCATTGCTAGAACCAGAACAGCCCCCACCATCATATAGTGCTGTTATGAGCTCTCAAGGCTCACGATATTATCCCCCAGTCAATGCAGGAATTTTGAATTCATCCTATGCAACAAAAGCATCTACTTCAGAAGCAGGAATCAACAGGTACCCTGCAGAAAGCACATACGGATCTGGCGCACAAGGCAGCATTGACTATCAGGGATACCAAAGAATGGCGCATGGATCTTATGCACCAGTAATCAGTAATACTGGTACCTCTGTAAGTATGATTCATTTATATCTTGTAAATTTCAATAATGAGTGTCAGCTCAGTGTTCGTGTTACCAACTGATTTAGTTGAAACAGACATAGTTGTCTGATACAACTTTACCAGCTGATTGAGCTTAAAAGTGATAAAGTTGTCTGAAACTTAATTTCACTCACTGATAGAGCTTAAAAGTGATAAAGTTGTCTGAAACTTAATTTTACTAGCTGATTGAGCTTACAAGTGATAAAGTTGTCTAAAAATTAACTTTACTAACTGATAGATCTGATTCTGTTTCAGGTCCCCAACACCACACCACAACAAAAAACCCGTATTTGTCGTACATTATGTTCCTTATGTGTTTGTATCAATATGATATTTATTCCTGTAATAATCTTTCTTCTTTGAAATTGATGCTCATCTCAATGCCAAATGAACATTATTGTGTATTTATGTAGATACTTCGTCAGGTTTACAGGGTTAAAAAACCCAATCGTGAAATAAACATTAATGATTCTCTCTCATACTCGAAATCATGCTGTGACCTATGTTGTTCAAGAGAGTGCACATTTAATAATCAAATTGTGGTATATGTTATATTTAATTAAACTAATATATCTATATATTATATATTTTATATTATAATATATTTATTTAATCCATCATTTTTTTTAATATTTATGGTCAATTTGAAAGTTTTACAATGCTATCAGAAATTGATATATCTGTGTCCAAAATTTTTTCTAGTCTTTGTATTTTGAAGCTGGATTTCTTGAGTTGATTTATATTTTTGTTTTTGTTATAATTTGCCTTTTGGCTTGTCACATACTTGTTTAAATTGATATTTTTGTGTGCTCTTGTCAATGTAAATGGTACTAGTGGTGGCGTGATATATCAGTGAATTGATGTAACGCGATATGACATGCCACGATACGCGTATCGTATTGCGACGTCGGGTATCGATACTTGGCGATACATTTTTATAAGTTGTTTTATGATATAATAATTTTTTTTTTTTCGCTGAAACTTTTTATAAGACAGTGGACACTTACCACTTCTATCAACTATATTACCAAATATCAAAGTCATAAAGTTATAAATAAATATATATATAGAAACTTTGACAATAAAATGTTAATTTTAATCCCATTACCGCATATTGCGATATGTATCGTATGGTAACCCATGTATCGCAATATGTATCCTTTAAGTGCAGTATATTTTGTAATTTTTCTTTAACATGCCAATATATATCCAATTATATATTAAGTTTACTCAATTTAGGTTACATTTTTTTACATTTGAATATTCATGAGGCCCTTTTTTTGTACCTTTTTTACTGCAGGTGACTTAAGCCTACCGTGTCATCCATGATCTATTGAAATAGTTATGCATCTCATGAAAAAGGTCATATGATATTGAACCAACCAATGCTCTGTTCAAAGTAATACTTAATGAATTTTGTTAGATTAAGGAAGTGTAATATACGCTTTTATTGATATGGCTTTGTATGAATATCTGCTTTGTGCACTTATATTTTTGTGCAAGTGCTAATATATATTTTAATGTTTTTTTTTGTTAATTTTGTTTATGTTTACTCATACCTATTTGTTACCTTTTAATATTGTTGTTTTGGTTTAGATCTTATAGTTGAATGTTATGTTTAAGGTCAGGTTTGTTTCCACTTTTTCTTAAGTTATTATTATTTGAGGAAAGTAAAAAGATTTTTGAATTTTTCCCATTGATTTTATGATTATTGGAATAGCAGCCTCAAAATAGTACTGTCAGTCTTGGAACGTCTTTGCATTAATAAAAATACAAGTATGAGCACACATTATGTCTTCAAAAGTTGTCTTTACAGGGGACTTTTTGGGGGTTGAAATTTCTAAGAGAGAAATGTGTTTCTTTTCAATGTTAATATCCAAAAGAATATATTTTTATCAAGACCTAACAGTTGGCCTACTATTTTGAGGCTGATATTCCAATTCTATTAAAAAAATATCGAAAAAATTCACAAAAACATTTTTGATTTGCTCAGGCAATAGACTTCTGATGATGGTTTGAGGATGGTCTATAATAGTAATGAAATCAGGATCAATTGGATTCCTTGAAAAAATAAAGCCATCATGTGAAATGATTCTGGAGAGGTTTACAATTTTAAAGTTAGGCCTATTCTATACCAAGACTCTGGACTTTAAAATACTAAAAGGGGCTAGTTGCTAATTTAATTTGATTTTTTTAAAAAGTTATCCTGTACTTTATATGTTACTCAATAAGAGTAATCAAGCCTAATTAAAATAGAAACCAGCCTGACCAACCTCTACTAGAATATGACACTATTACACTCAATCGACAACTTATAACCACAATCTGACACTTAGAGCTCTCTTAATATGATATGGTCATATCTTAGATGCCTTTTGATTTAAGCAACAACTGTAATCTGAATTTGGAAGTTTTTGAGGATCCTATGAAATTCAGTGACTTTTCGAGCTTGGGTCGTCACCGTTAGAGAGTCATTAAATGAAAACCACGAAAGGTGTACCATGCATATTACTTCCGGTTACAATTGTAAACAAAGACACAACTTTTTCAAATAGCTTAAACCAATGAAGCGATGTAATAGATACTCAAAGTGTTAGTCCAGGTCTGTATAACACTGCAAGGAAGCCAGAGCATGCATTTCACCATAATTGTATAGAGTCTTAGGATAGCACAGTTTTGGGACCCCTTGAATTACCTTGTTATAGCCCAAATGTTTTTAATGCAAATCTAATGTTCATTCATTCATAACATTCATTCATTTTATCACTGTCGTGTGTGGCTTACTGGCTTAAGCATATTTTACATAGACATAGAAAATAAAACCTCTAGGAGTTGGTGCTGTGAATATGGTCACGCAATAGCCTAACCAGAGGACAGTGAAGGGGGGTTGTTTCATAATGATAGTGGTTCCCTCCCTTTTCAATTTCAACTTAGATTTCTAACTGTTGACTATGCTTGACACTTCACTTGAAATATCTGATAATGCTTATGAATGGACTGTCCATTTCTTTCAGTTTGCATTTTTGGTTGTACAAGAGAAAACCCTGAAAGAAAATGGAGAATACATTTTCAGTTGGTCTTAAACACAATATTGCCCCTCATCAAGAATTTCTTCTGCAAGGCAGTATATTGGACAGTCATAAAGAGGTGTTACTGCACAGACTGAGAGGACTATGTGATAATGCTGAAAAAGCTCCAGAACCGTTTTATGATCATGAAATGGTATTTATGTTGAGTAAGTTATTAGATCTTATAAGCCTTACTCTTACCAAGTTTGGAATCTGCCCACAGCCCTCTTCCGCTTTCTTTAATGTTCTTCCTTGGTAGCGATAAAGGGGAATAACTTTATAGCACTACTGAGCTCTATTTCCCCAAATTGAAATTTCAACGAAAATATTGCTACCAATTTGGATAACATTTTAACCACTTTAGAGATAAAAGTAATGAATAAGGCTTTTTAGACACTTTTTCAAATTAAATTTTGTAATAAATTTACATCATTTCCAATCAAATGCCATTATCAGAGATCATGTTAGAGACGTGTCCTCGGTAAACGAATATCTATTGTCAATGTAGGGTAGAATATATTTCTGGTTTTTTAGGAGGAGCGACTGCCCAACAAAATCCTGTTTTATTTCGTGTGAGAAGATCAGTTGAACCCAGAGATGATACATCATGGTGAGTCAATCATTGTGATTCCAGATATCTAAACAATAATTATGACTTGATGAGGCAAAATTATTTGAAAATTTCTTTTAGAGTTTGATATTGAATATGTATGAAATATACATATAAACAAACACCCATATTTTTGGGGAGGGAAAGGGGGAATTTTGGGCAATCCTCAATTCAATTGTTGCTAACAGCAATTGACCCTTTTAACTCATTCCTGAAATTAGCTGCAATTTCAATCAAAGATTGTTCACTTTTAGGCTGAATTGAATTCTTACAAGCATTTATTACTGATAACATAACATTGAAATTTGCATTGGATGGTTATTCCTGATATAAACATCTCCTTCACGTTTTGGTGAAAAGTGCTAGGGATAGATGTATCTAAAAAATGAAATATTGAGATGACTACATGCATATCTGTTATTAAAGTTGGGTTTTTTTTCCAGGCATATAAGATATCTGGGAACCTCAGAAGTCGGAGATAAATCAAGACATACTTTAGTCAGAGCTTGTTTTGATGTGGCCTGTTCGAATAATGTTGTACAGTTTTTAAATGAAATGGGTTTCAAGTAAGACTCTAAATATTTTATTCCTAGGTCCATAAAAACTTGAACTTCTCTTATATTGTCGTTTGAAAAGAAATAAAGAAAATAGGCATGAAATTTATAATCTCAAGCTATTTAAATAATTACTTTTACGTTATGGATTAATCAGACTAATGAGAACTAAAGACTAGTTGAAATTAAAGTGATATTAACACTTACAAGGTACACAGAATGTAAAATCTCAATTTTGGCCAATACAACTATAGGGCCTATATTCAGCAGATGACTTACCTTGTGTTATAATTATACCAAAAAATCCTTGTATCATCCAGTGAATCTATAAAACTAATTAATTATTTCAATTATAACTTGCAGTTTATGGATAGTTAAGTTTATTTAGTTTTATGGATTTATCAGACTAATGGTTTCATTTCTTATACTGATATAACTTTATATGACATGTTTTGGCATTTTTTATTATTCTAGATTAGATCATGAATACTGTGTCAAGGGTTATTTCTTTCATAAAGGTAGAATGAAAGTCACAGTTTCTAAGATATTCAGGGTAAGGAAGAATATTGCCTGATTGTTTAAATTGAGTTTGAAAAAGTTCAAGTCTGATTAGAGCTCTGTTATGCACTGGCCTTGGTCTTCCTTTTACAATGTTTTAAATACGATTGATAGAGCAAATGTTTTAGTGCACATAAGGATTCAAAACACTCTCATGAATATTGTTTTATTTTCAATTGCTATTTATTATACAAATTTTGAAAAACAGTGGCTATCTCTTCCTTGAATTTCTCTAATTTTGACTTTTTTTTTCAGATGGCACCTTCTGGTGGATCTGACATCAACACACAAGAAGCCATGTCTCATTCCCATCTAGTAGAACTGAGTGTTGTAGCACCTGCTGGCCAGGAACAAATAGCTGATGATATGAAAAACTTTGCTGAACAACTCAAACCGTATCCTTGTAATACAAATAAATTTATTTAGATTTTACGGTTGGGGAAAGACCATGTGAGTCTAGCAAATATACCTGGCGACAAAGCATTGTTTGTTGAATTTTTTTAGGGGATGTTTCAATATCTTTGCTCGATTTGGCTTAGAAGGAATAGTAATAGACAAGTTTAACAAGGTAAAGATATTTGTGCACCTGATTTAAAAGGGTTATAGTTAACTTGGCACCTAACCAAAAATAAAGTCCAAATGGCCCAGTACTATTTCGATGTACCAATATCTGGACTGGACTATATTCTCATAGAGAGTGGATGTTACTTTTTTCTGTCTTTTTCCTTAACCTTAGTTTAGATTAATTCAGCTGGAGAAGGTAGATCAGAAAAGACTGTCAGTTCAATGATAAATCTGTTTATTGATTATAATAAAGATGATAAACAATAACAAAGGAAGATTATATGGTTATTTTGTTGTTTGTTATTGAATATGAAACAGTTTTAAAGAAGAAGAAGAAATCCATGGGCTGAATACAATTAACATGGACAACACAAGTGGTGAAATTATGAAATTTAACAGAAGAAATAAATTTTGTTCTTATGGCTCTATATATTTAAGTCCATTGTTTTGAGAGGTAAAGAAAGTGAACATTCCTGAGTGTGAAAATAAATTGTATCCAAACCTCAAGTTCTTAGTTAACCTTCCCCAAAATAACCTCTTGATTTCCATGATTTGTTGAATTCAATCTGATTAAAATGCTAATTGAGATCTTTTATTGAACACAGCATGAGATAGGTTGAATATCATACAACCCAGAATATAAGATGGATGGCTAGTGGTGTCACTGACAAAAAAAACACAAAATGAAATATCCAGATTTGAATTTAAATCAGATTGTGTTGTAGGCACCAGGGAAAAAACTAAACCCTGTTTTTCAAAAGTGATAGATAATGGAATTAAAAGACAGATTATTTTTAGAAAATTGACAATTTACTACATAGCATAAACTTATCTAATCCATTTTCACCGAATCAAGTCTAAAATAATGTGTTAACTGGTAACCAGTAATTATAAGTGTTATTATTAAAAATATATATCTTAAATAACATAACATTAAGTAACTGCAATCTAATAAAAAAAAAAATATAGCTAACACAAATATTAACTCCAAATATATATTTAAATTTAAATAAACTTAACCAGTGACAGCATACTAGGTGATGTAGTCTGTAGGTATCTTTATGACCAGTCTTTAACATAATTTTTGAATCTCATGTTGGGATCGTTCCTACCTGTTTTTAGAAGGACACGAAAGCATATGACGTGTCTGTCATCAATATACAATAATACATCCGTACAATGCTTATGTAGGATTCTTGGCACGAATGATAGTAGTCTGAGCATTGACACGGTAAACATTGTTACAATTTTGCTACCTATAATGCTGACAGGTAAGTTCCCATCCCCTGCAGGGTTGTTGCCCCCTGAAGAGTTCAACCTCAACAAAATGAAACCGGTCGGGTTGTACACAAAAGTTCAAGGTTTTCCTAAAGGAAAGTTCAATAATTAGTCAACTTTGTGATTGACAGAAGTGAGACCACAAAAATAATGAATATTCAACAAGAAAGGCCTGCTTAAATATAACTTAAAATAAATATGTAACCTGTTTTAGACTGAGATCATATATTGTTAATCTAGTCTTAAAGCTTTGAGCAAAGCATGAACAAAAGTTATTTAAGAAATTTTCGGATGTGATATTTAAATGTTCGAGAATTTGCCAAACCAACAGCTAACAATATACAACCATAGAACACTAACATAATAACAAATTTATGTTGTTGAAAGAAAGTGGGTCGATTATTAAGATGTTTATGGCTTGCCTTATCAGCATAAACCAAGAGGTATTTTACACGTATAACTTCGTTGCTTTCAACCACAAAATATTTATCAGGAACATCTCCCGCTTCACTATTTTTAGCACTTGCACGGGATTTTGTTTTGACTCCATCTTTTTCTGAAACTTGACGTTTAACTGTTGCGGGATCATCAATAATTTCGCACACTGCCACACAACCTACTTTATGACCAATTTCACTATTTTCCCAAGTAAAACCAGAAGGGGAATAATTCAAAGACACAGAGAGTTCACCAGATAAATACGTCCCTTCTCCAAAAACTGATACTTTGTTCATGTGTGACGCTAAACCATTGTGTAAAATGGAATGAAAATTTTCCGTTCGACTACCATGATATGCAAAGATAACTCCTCTATCTTGTCTTTTGTCTTGAAATTTTTGTTCACTTGCTTCGTTGTATTCGATTTCAAATATATGTGTTGGTGGAGGAACAGGGGTCGTACTGCCTGTGAGTTTAATTATCATTTCGAAACTATTCTTTCCCAAAAGCTTTGTCTTGAATCTTTTGGAATCTAAGGCCCATTTTAAAAGTTTTAAGGCATCTAATGACATGGAATTCAGGCATGGGACTAATTTGGTGAGTTTAAGGATTTCACTGAAGACTTTACTGAGTTTTGAATTGTCTTTCTCTGTGTCAGATTTAATAAATTGGGGAGGGAAAGGACGTAAGACTGTGTCGTGTCGGTAGCTTTGAAGAGCTGCTGAAAATAAACTCAGTTTAATATCTGATGAGAGGCGATCTTCATCAATCTTCTTTCTTAATTCATCTTCAATATCTTTTCTTGTTTCTGCCATTTTCTTTCCAATCTGTGTCTGGCTTTCTTTTCTTATCTGCTCTGCTCTATCGCAACTTTTTCACTGCAGTAACCTGGCCAACAGGTATTCTATCTTAATTCCAAATCTTCCTTCTAGATAGATCCATCCCTGAAAAAAGATTAAATATCAGCTGTCAAAGCAGACAATCTCACTTTAAAGGACCCGTTTATATGGGCCGTTGGTATGCAGCCCCCCCCCCCCCCCCC